GGGAATCACTTTGGCGTGGGATGGAGCCTCACATCTCATGTAGTAAGACGGGACCGAGTTGCAGGTCTTAAAATGACCTCTGCGAAGCCGATCTCTAAATATCACGTACCTATGCGCTTCAACGATGAATGTATTGATTCGGCTTACGATCTCTTATCGCAGCAGCGAGAGCTTCCCAACTCCCCCGCGCACGATGAACAATCTTGAACCAAAATCTCCTGCGACCCATACAAGATTGAGAGGCCCAAGTCCCCGCTTCGGGGTATGAAGTGAACCCATCACCCCTGGACGCGGACAAAGATGAGCTTGGTCTTAATCAAGACATCAGCAAATTCCGTTGGGAGCATGCGCTGGCAGTATTGAGCGCCGCTTGGTTCAGAGTGGCTGATCTTTTTTTGGGTCAAACCTTGCCGCGAGTCCATGGTGGTCTTGCAAAATGCCAAAAACTGCTGCCCAGCAAGCAATATCTCAAAGCTGTCATTGTCAGTGTTAGAGAGCCATCGTCTGCAGCAAATGACAACGCCGGTCATGCCATGCCTGTCTGACCCAAATGTCCCCAATCTACGCCAGAAAAGCGCTTGCTAGCCCCAGCCATCCGCCGTCTCAATGTCTTTCCAACATCTGGCCGAATAAAGCTTGACCAACCTGATTCGTCTTCATCGTCGGGCGCCAGTGTCCCACTTGTGTCCTCACTTCTGAACAAAACACCATGAATCTCTCCAACACACTTTGTACTGCCGTTCAAAGACTTACGCGGGATTCGTATGAAAAAGTCTTTCCTGCTTTTAGGCCGAAGAAATGAAGACCGCCTGAGCAGGTCTAGAGAATACTTGGGCAATAGCGCTGAGGCTTGACCGCAAGCTTCGAGCAGTGGTGCTAGGCTGACTCAAGATGCAAAAGCTTTGTGCCGTATACGTCAGCAAAAGTCGCTATGAGACCAGAATGCTGCAAAGATCGACAATGGCAGACCACATGATGTGAGAACGCGAATGACAGGGGAGAACTAGTCGTAATCACGAGCACTTGAAGCATTCCGCAGGAGCCGCGCGAAAAGAATAACAGTGAGGAAAAAAAAGACAGCCACAAAAGACTAGAAGAGTGGTTCCGAATCCCTGTGATAGCCCTGACCAAGTTGACCGGGAAGCGACGAAAAATCCATAGCTCATTTTCTGTCGAGGAAAAAATATCCTGCGATGGTGCTACGCATTCAGTTGCTGACAGTCTGAAAGCACTTGGTTCGAGTATGAAAAAACGCCGACAACGCCGCCGGCAAGCTGCTTGCTTTGCGTTGTACAAGCCAAGGCTCGTCGACTTTCGTCACACTACTCTTAGCGGCGGCCTGACTCCGATTTTCCGCAGCAAC